CATTTCAGAACGAAACTTAATTGCATAGTTACTTTGGCTAACTGCTAGTTACTTCCAATGAGCACATTTTTGGCAAAAGTAACCACTAACTCTAACTAGTTACTTTTTTAAGTTAACTTGTTAACTTAAATTTTTGGCGTGGTCAGTTTAGATTGTCCTGCTTTAATTTGTTGTTTTCTTTCTTCGATTTTGCCTATTTGTGTTCCTTACTCCACCTTCCTCTAATTCGTCTTGCTATCCTTTCTTCCCTCTCACCTGATTTCATTTGCTGATTGCAGCCATCTGATGTTCATTTTCAATCAGTTCCTCCGTGTTGATTTTGGAGAGATTCTCCGCGATTTTGTCAATCTTTCCATCTGTGTGCCTTGTACGTTTTATACTATTAGGCTCTTTTTTAAATCAGTTTCAGTAATTCAATAATATAAAATTTTTATTGTGATCATGTTACTCCCACTTGCCCCAGATAGTGAATCCTACTACTTGTACACACTCTAATAACCAGCCTTCTCATCCTACAGTCATTAGTTTTCAGCATATGGGGAAAGTCAAGCCATCTGTTTAACTCCAGCTGTTGTCAGCTCATTAGTTGTAGCTAGAGGACCCCTTATAAAACTAAATATTGTTAGTTTGTAGCAGCATATAAATTGGATAATCTCTCCCAACATAATCCTACTTCAGTTTTGGCTTAAGTTTTTTGTGTTTTAAAGATGTGCAGTTTGAAGCCTGGTTTGATACAAGTCTTACATTTACTGTCCACCAGAGGGCGACATATCCATATATTTTCATAATGTGGGTTATATGCAGGAGGGCATATCATTCTTCTCTGCTTGACTAGTTACAGATAATAAACTTGGCAATATATTCTGCCTCTACACAGGTTAAAGTGTTAAAACCTAGAGGCAATATCAACACCTATAAATTTGCTGAAAAACACTACTCATGAAGGATGGTCATTGAAAATTATTATTTTTAACACCATGTTGCACTCTTGGCTTCTAGGTATTAACACAAACCAAATGTTAATTCATGTCCAGAGGTCTTAACAGATACAGTTGACAGAGGTGGGGTTGAAAGGTATGGTTTAAATAGAAATAATTTATGCATTTTCTGTTTACAAATACACCATGCCACCCTTTATTGATAGCAGTAATGGTGAAACATTTCATGGAAATGTTCTTTGCCAATACATAATGAGAGAGAAAATAAATTACACTAGTCAAGGACGGCATGAAGATGCTTTTGTTGTTAGAAGGCTCGAGCAGTAAAAAAGGAAGTGAGAAAAAAAGAAAAAGAAGAGATCTCTAAATATAATTTATCTTCAAATGAAAACACATTGGAGTATCAGACACAGACGTAACGGATGACTTGCTCCTGTGAGTTTCTCTTTGTTAAACAGATAAAATAGGTGAAAAAATTACAAATTAGACACTATGCACATAATGGTAATCTGTTGTTAATTATACTTTTAGCTATGAGACAGAATGTGCTCTTCTTTTAATTTTTTTTCACCAAAAAGGAAGGATTCATTCAATTCAATCGTAATATATTCTCAATAAAATTTTATAGAAATCTAAATTTTGTTAGTAGCACAAACAACCTGGCTTCAATATGAACACAACAGAGGTGTTCTGAGAAACTGATGTGCAACATGAAACAAGCTCTTAATGGTATGAATGGGAGGAAAAAAAATGTTTGGTGTTAGTAAGCGTACATGCAAAGTGCTTTAGTTTGTTTACGTCACACTAACTGCATCCCTTGGCATTGATGGTATTATTGATGGAGGATGATTCAAAGTTAGCTATTTTCAGTAATGTCTTTGAGAATTAGGTCAGAAAAGCAGAAATCAGAGCTTGGATGAGGATCAGAAGTCACACTTGAGCGAATTCTAGCTCATCAGCCAGTAGCGCCCGACACCTACTGGCTGAGATGTTGCTAAATCATGGACCACTCTCCAGTTTTTGAGTTTAGAGAGTAGCTGATTGTCTGTCCACTGCTTAAAAGAGACGGAGTGCTAAAAGACCTCCAACTTTACATAAAGGAATTCCAAATACAGGTTGTCTTCTCCTTTTACTTCTTACTTGGAAATTAAACAATCTTACTTCTCAGTACAAATAGGTCAACTTTATAAGGATTTTATTTTTCTTTTAAAATGACTGCTACACTCTTTCACAAATTCTTACAAACACACAGCGTGACTTGGCCTTGATTCCTACACTGAAAAAAGTGACTCACACTGCAGGAAGGTTAGAAAAAAAGTTTATAATTATAACTCTTTGGTATAAACCAGAACTCACTGAAACCTGTAGAGGCAAGTCAAAGATTTAGAAAAAAAGTAAATGTTGTTCTTTGATCAACAGATCTTTAGGCTAATCCCTAAAACACAACACATTGTATCTCAAAGTCTCATGTAGGCTGTAAGGGCTATAAGCTGTTACATCATTCTTAGACCAGATTGTGCACCATTAGAAAGCACTAATGAGTGTTTTGAGGTTGTTATTTGCGCTCATCTTTTACAAAGCAAAAGGGAAAAATATCTGTTTTTATTGAACTCAAACCAAATCTCACTCCAGTTTGGTGATATCAGTCCTTTGAATTATAGGGATTTTCCAGATATATCCAGCAATTAATAAAGCAGAGTGCTTATGAAAACATAAGAACATTTAAGCTAGATATTATCGAATAGAAAAACTATACTCAAAGGCTTCAAACTCTTTAAGCTTAAAAAAAAGGTGCAACACAAAAACATTTAGAAAAGTATTCAATTTCACAAAAACAGAGATTTAACAAAATAAAATCCCAACGCCTGAGGCCTACTAATAAAAAAATTGACATTAAAAATGCTAAAACAAACATTTCCACCCCTCAGTTCTGCCAAACTAACAGCAGAAGGCAACACACACTAGTTTACCCTAATCTCAGTAAACATGTATCATATATTAAAAGGATGTAAAGTAAGTTAGGTCTTTTGCACACACACACAAAACAAAAAAAAAAAAACAAAAAAAGAAAAACAGGAAGGAATCCAGAATGAGTCTTCCTGTCTAAAAAAAAAAAAAAAGACCTGACTCTATTTCTGGCAAAGAGAAATGTTTGCAGCTGAGTGATGTCCCATCCTGCTTCAAACACTTTACCATCATTAGTCCTAAAGTATCCATCCATCACTGGAAAGAATGATTATAGGTCGGGTCCTCTATTGCCTGAGGTCCTAGAGTCTTGAATGACTAGTTTTGCCCAACCTAGAGAATATCAGAGGACAGCTAATGGACAGTCTGTGGTTTGTTTATGAGAACAATGGGGCATCGGATGATACATTACATTCCAGAACACTCCAGGTACTTTGGGGGTTTATGTAATGATCCTGTTTATAGACGTTAGCTCAGCACTTTAGGCAATGACTCCAGAGGTCTTCTGCTCCTAACTTTTAATTAACTTGTTAAGATAAAAAAAAATATATATATAAATCAAAGCATCTGTCCTGACATCTGTCAATGGACACAATATATTCTGGGGTTTCCACCTCTCCTCTCCTCCATGTACCTACATCTCACATCATAACTCCAACTAAAGCTTATTGGCAACAGCTTCAGTCATTGACCAAAAGTAGATACATAGCTTCATCAGTGAAACCACTACAGCTAATTTGCTATTTTGACTTCACAACAGTTTTTACTTTCTTGGTTGTGCAGGAGCAGTGATGCACCTAAGCTCTGGTTAATGTGCTGCAAATGGCATTAAAAATTGACACAACAATTTCTTATTAGGAGAATCAATACTTAAAGCTGAGGTTAAACATGTATTTGTTCTTTAGAAGTAGAGAGATATGTGATGATAGCAATAATTGTTCAATGTCTGTTCCCAGCCGGATGCTGGTAATTTTTACCCTTCACCAAATTAAATCAATTTAATTGCAGATTTTGTCTTTTTGTACATGCGTTTGCAAACTTTTTTTTTCAAATGATTTATGCCAAATATAAGGAAACTGAGTCAATTTAATTTCAGGAAAGAGGATAATTAATTTCTTTGGATCAAATATATCTACTATATGAAATCGTGAAAGTAAGATGACCCAATTGGGGAATCACTTTTTGTTTATCAGCACAAAATGAATATCCAAAATCTGATATGATAGAATATTTCTTCTTTTTTTATGTTCATTATCATAAATAGTTATATAATGGTTATGCATATGGTTTCCAATGAATACTATACTGTTGTTAAACACAAATTGGCAATGTTAACTTGGACCTATCAGTGGCTGGTAAAAAAAAAAGGCATCCCTTACACATGGTGGTAACGTGTTAATATATTTTAGAGGCCTAGAAACAGAACGCACATAAAGGTCAGCAGGAATGATAGTCCAACTTCTAAAAGTAGCTATGCACTCCTATTCTCTCTGTAATACCCACTAGGCCTGTGTCAAACTGGGAAACAAGTTTATTCAATTATTTAATTTATTTCTCAATATGATGTGGAATATGACGTTGGATTCTCAGATAGACTCCATTCTCAAAAGGACTTTCTGCTGCAACTCAGGGAGCATAGTCCACCCCAGGCATTCTTAATGCATCTCTACTTCACAGATTGGTTTACAGAAGACACAAAGAAGGAAAAAAGTTCATTTTAGTGACAGAGAGGAGAGCAGAGGAAATCAAACGAGCCCCTTTACCTTTTCTCTCAAGAAGCAGGAAGCAAGATGTGAAAGTAGTCAGCAATAACTAAAATCCTGGAAAGTATATAACTTCCAAAGTTCTTGCTAATAATAAAGAGCCATGATAATAAGAACTAGTCAAAGATGTAAGTTCTTTGCCCACATCTTCAAACTTTTAAATCATTTCTTGTAGTCAGCTGCTATACCTGGCGTCTTTAGATGCCAATATGAATCTAGAAACAGCTGATTCTGAGAGAAAATATATTAACTGTTCATTCAAGTGATATATCTGACAAAATCTACAACTGCAATTATAAAGGAAGAGCGGAAGAGTTATTAGGAACAACTGTACCCTTGCAGTGCTTTCTCTCCAAACCAGTCGCCTTTTCCAAGGCTGCGGAGGTAGACAGGCTCCCCATTGGGCAGCTCTTCCCTGGTCACATTAACCTGCAAAAAGAGGAGAACGAGAGGGAAAGAGGTAAAGGTAAGCAGGGTGTAAGAGGAAAAGATGGGGAAAAAAATGACAGATTCAAAGATATCGTGGAACGAAAGGAGGACATTTTAATAAAGTATGAAAAATATAATTATATACTATAATACAAAAAAAAGTCTTGATCACCAAGAAAAGGAACATAACTTTCAGCATATTCTGTCACAAGCAGGTATTTATCTTTGCAGTGCAGGAAATGAGAGGCACTGCTGACAACTTTATAAGCTTGATGGCAGATATGAGATGGAACTCTCCTGTGAACCAACGACTTTACAAATCACAGAATTGGCACTTGAGTATATTTTTAAGGAAGCGGGTGGAGACGACTGTTTCGCCTAATGAGGGCTCTCAACTTGATCCATTAGCTGTAGCAGCATAAATCCAGCGACAGCGTGCCGGAATGCAGTGAACCGCTGAGTGACAGCCTAATTACCCGTGATCGTGTAGAATACTGTCGCTACAGAGAAAATGCAAAGAGAGAAGGTAGAGGACATGAAAAGTGTGACGAAATAGTGTGTTACACAATTGTGTCAGATGGTTATAGAGACAAAACATCTTCTTTAAAAACACCTGTTTCTGGCTTTGTGTGTTAGGTCAGTTGGGAATACTAAAAATATTTGTAGTTGCTAAAAAAAAAACAGAGTAACAAGAGAAAAATATATTTTGTTTCCTTCTACTTGTTTTATTTCAGAATTATAAATGTATACTATGAATAATCGCTTAGAATAATTCAGGGAAGCCCAGATGAGGAAGTTATGGATTTGCAAGCTTTTGAGAGGTTAATGTACATTTATTCTATATGAAACCACAGCTGTGGATGCATTTTAAGGAAACACTTGGGTTTTTAGTGTGAACAGTTCACATCACCACAACAAAAGAAAAAAGGTCTCGTGAAGATGCTGGCTAAAGATGGCTAAGAGTTTCATTATTCTCAATGAAAAGAAGACGCAATTTCTTCAAAGGTAACATAAAGAGCCAGGTGAAATGGACGTTTAAATGAAGTGCTACTTAAGCCTCCGTCACACTGTTTTCTTTCTTGCCAGAAATTAATCAGCATGTTCAACATTGTTCAGAATAGTTAAAAAAAAAAGATAAAGAAATAAGGAATTTAAAAAAAGAATTATAGTGTTGTTTTCTTGTTTTTGTTTTTTTTTTTTACATCACATTCCCTGTTGTTTGTAATTATGAGTCTTCTGGTAAGTGCACTGTTTGTATTGTGTGTTCCTAGCGAGACGAAGGACTAAGAAAATTGCGCTATTTTGTATAATTTTGGACAGGTGTTATTTTTGTATGATGAGTATTTGTTATACATTTTCCCTAACTCTGACTATCTAGAACTATTTAAAAACAATTGTTGCTTTTGACATATAAGTCAAATATCCGTTTGCTGAATCAATGCAGTTTTAAAGCTTGGAGTATTTATCATACAAAGGTTCTTAAATCTGGATTTGTAAAGAGAGAACATTTGCATAACACAAGGTGAGTCACATTTTAATATGGGAAATTGATGTGACTCTTGGTTCAAACTAAAATTCATATGCAGCTGTGGCTCTTTTAATTAGGTAGTTATATTGACAACTGAGAGCTATGATGCTGCAAAAAATGTTAAACTTACTAAAGATTTAGATCCGTTGGTTTTGCTATAGAACTCTTTTTCTGTGCTATTGTCAAATGAACATGGAGGCAATGTTGGAGAGCTGTTGACCCAAGATAATATTGTAATAATATGTGCACAAAGTAATATGCCAATTACTAAGCTACCTGTGTGTTCTGGAGATTGCAAATTGTTAAACATGCTGACCCTATCTATACCACCAGCTATGGAAGGTGCTATAAGGAGGGCAGGGTTTGTAAACTTTACCCTTTAAAGATGGTATAAGACAAGAGGGAGTGATTCAGGACAAATTTTTGTTAGTGCTGGCGAGCCTTCTTGTTATGATGTATCGTAAAATCTCATGTACAGTTTCTGTGCAGGATATTGGACTCCACCAGAAGCATACAAGAGCACATCACTGACAGAATCTGCATTACGCCCAGTTTGTTTATTTTAGTTTGTGAAATCAATGGAAACCTAATCTTTGTCATTTTCTTTCATAAACAATTTCTTTTTTTTTCTCTCTTTTTTTTCTATAAACATAAACCTGTCTTCATCAAACTGAAATAAGTAAGCAAGAATTTGAAGTTAGTTTGAAACTTGGACATAATGAATTAGAAATTTGTACAATTTTCATTTTTGTTGTTATTAAGGGTTATAGTGGAGGATGTGGATCATCAAAATAAGTGATCCTCCTAACTGTCAATCATTCTGGTGATATGTTTCTGTGCATGCTCACTTTCAGGTGTATATTTGTGGTGAACTAAGGTTTCAGACAATCATTGAAACTAGCCTTTCTCGCCACTATTTGTTTAATCATCATCAAGGAAAGCGCTTAAAACTGCCTGCATAGCAATTCTTGGCACAATGTTCTATCATCAGGTAAGGATAGTGGGATGTGTGGCTAAATAAATTGTGGTTGGTTACTTAAAACAGGCTGGCGACCTGTCCAGGGTGTATCCTGCCTCTCGCCAATAGACTGCTGAAGACAGACACCATCCCCATGTAATAAGTGGGAGAAGATGGATGGATGGATGGATGGATGGATGGATGGATGGATGGATGGATGGATGGATGGATGG